GGGGGGGGGGCTGATTCGGTGTCAAATTAGAGATAGCTTAGGAGAAAATGGAGGATAGTGGTGCCACTTGGCTAGACATTAGAAAAGCAAATCCCTCTTTCTTTACCTATTGGTTGTTAGAGAGAAAATTATTTAGGTGGGGGAAATAGTTTAAGAGAAATTTTAGGAGAGGTGATTATTTAGGTTATTGGGAACGTGTATTGGGAGAGAGAGAGAGAGAAAGATCTTAGATAGATTATTACGGGAAAATGAGAGTATCTCATTGGTTGTTTCAAAAATGACATGGAAAAAAAATAAAAAATGAGAAAAAAATGAGAAAATTCCTAGAGTTCCTTCTTTTAATGTGTGTGTGTAGATGAGTATGTTACAATACAAATCTTTTTGTTGCAAAAAACCGTAAACTTGGCCAACACTCAAAATGACCTAATTGGTGAACCATTATGTTTGCCCCAATTAACAAACCATAGATAATATAATAATTCTCTTTCTTTTCATACATATTTTTGTTAATATGATGAATATATAATATTAATAGCATGTGATCAATTCTAAAAATCTTTATAAAATTTTCTATTTCTTTGTACTTTTTATTTTTATAATTTTATTTATAGCATCACAAGTTGACTTGTTTAAATCGAGAGAAAATGCGGTTCAATTTGGTTTTTAGAACATTGGTTTTTTAAAAGTCTTTTTATTCTATACTCAAAACAACTAATCAAACAAATCAACCTACATGACTTGGATTTTGAGCCCACTTTACGTTCAAACTACTTGCCCACAAAGAAAAAAAAATAGTTGATCAAGAATGATGTGATCTGTATAGAACCATTGAATCATTTGATTCCTTTAGTGGGGTTATGAGTTAAACGTTAATTCTCTGCTTTCTTAGTTTTTTGTATTCATTTCCACTATTAATAAAAATAGTTCTTAATCATTTATCACACTTATTTTTGTTTAATGTGATGAATATATAATATTAGGGTTGTGCTAAGATTTTCTATATACTTTTTTATATCTTTATGTAACATTGTACATTTTTATCTATATTTTGTTTTTTATTATTTAATTATGACATTATGGCTTAACACATTTGACTTAAAATAGTTTTATTATAATGTTGCATTCTATTATTTAATTATGACATCATGGCTTAACACATTCTATTTTCATTGTTGGGTCAATTTTAAATTTTAAATTATGTTCCAAACATTAATAAAGTAGTTCTTATTTGTCTTAATCTTTTGTTTAATTTAATAATTAAATATATAATTGAAAAGATTGCATTTTGATAAATTTTTTGTGTTTTTTATAATTTTTGTATTTTTATCTTTTTAATATTTTTATTATTTAATAATGGCATCATAGGTTAACCCATTTGATCTTGATGGTTGAACTACTTAATGGCTACCCAATGGAAGAAATAATTTCAATCTTGGGTTGCTTTTTAAAACAAAGGTTCCTATACTATTAAAATTATTTGGATATAAGTTTAACTAATGGAATGTAAAGGTGAGAAACTAAAATACCTTTGGATATAGAATTTAGGTTGTTTTTGGTTTGAAAGAAAAGGTAGGTTTTGTATAAATTTCCCTACCTTTCCCTACTATTTCTTTCAAACAAACACAACCTTAATGAGAGAGAATGGTAGTTAATATATTAAATATATGACTTAATTAGGGAATATATTGAACTAAAAGTACTTGTTCAAATTATGTTTGTTACCATCATCATAGAGAGGTGCCAACATCAGAAATAAGAGTATTTTAGTTAAGAAAAAGTCTAAAAATATAGGATTCAATTGCACTTTTAATAGTAGTATATAGAAAGTGTGGTTGAGATTGTGGAACTTTTTGTTAGATTAAACTACCCGCAATTTTTGAGTTTAATCTCTCTTGTAAGGACAAAAATGTAATTTGAACAACTACTTTTCTCCTCATGAAAATCACTCTCATTAAGTCTTATATTTAAGGTATTAACTCCCATTAACATTTATTGAATCCTATTATTGACTACAATACCCCTATTTTTGAATTTGGTCCCTCTCTAATTGTGAGGGCACAAAATGTAATTTGAATTGCTATATTTCTTTTCATTCAATTCTCTCTCATTAAGTCTTATATTTAGGGTACTAATTCCCATTCTCTTATTGAATCCTATATTTAAGTTATTCATTTCACTAATAAATTCTATCAATTATATCTATATCCAATATGTTTAGTGATATAAAATATATGTTTTTTAAAATTGACCAAAAAATGGAACCATTATTCCATCATAGTGGTGAGTAAGCAATTTAACCATTAGTGTCAAATGGGTCAATCCATATTACACATCTCTAATGTTTTATATTAATCATATTAAATAAAAACAAGTGTGACAAGTAATAATTATTCTTATTAGTGTTGGATTGAAATATAAATTTAAAAGTAATCCAAAAGTAAAAATTATTTTCATGACAGTGGGTAAAAAATTTAACCATTTTGAGCCAAATGTGTCAACCCTTGATATCAATAATTAATAAAAAATATAAAATATAAAAAAACAAAAATATTATGTAATAATATAGAAATTTTGTAAAAAATAAACTTTTAAGCATTTATCTAATATTTATATTAATCATATTAAAGAAGAATAAGTGTGATAAATAATAATTTTTTTATATTGATGTTGGAAATAAAATATAAATTTTAAAACCAACCCAAGAATGAGATTGTTTTCCTGGTGATGGGTCAATAGTCATATAACCCTTAATCTCCTAATTAAATAATAAAAATTAAAAGAAAAAAATATAAAAACTCTAACAGAAATATTTGGCCACATCTCTAATATTTTATATTAATCATATTAAAAATTAAACAAGATAAATAAGAACTATTTTTAACTTTTTATTGATGATGAAAATAAAATACAAAATTTAAAACTAATCCAGAAGCGAATTGTTTTACTATTTAGTGGTAGATCAACAATTCAACCTTTTCATGTTAAATGAGTCAACTCGTGAAGTCATAATTAAATAATAAAAGTTTAAAAAGATAAATGCACAAAAATATAAATTATGTAAAAAGCATTTGGGCATGTTTCTAATATTTTATATTAATTAAGTATATTAAAGAAAAATAAATGTGACAAAGAATAATTGTTTTTACTGAAAATAGAAAGAAACTATGAATTTAAAATTAATCCAAAAATGGAGTTGTTTTCCTATTTAGCGACAAGTAATCAATGATTAACCTTTTAGGCCAAATGTGTCAACCCTTGATGTTAGAATTAAATAATAATAAAAATTAGAAAAGATAAAAGCACGTAAAAGTATAAAAATATAAGAAATATTATAAAAAATATTTAGGCAAATCTTTAATATCGTATATTCATCATATTAAACAAAAATAAGTGTGACAAATATGAATACTTTTTATTGACATATAAATATGAAAAAATATAGAAAACTTAAAAACATTTTATGTACTAGCATAAAAAAATTCCATGTGCAAAGCACATGCTCATTTACTAGTATAGGCATAAATTTAAACAAATGAGGGTGTGGAACTTTTATTAACTAAAATACCCCTATTCTAACTTTAATTCCTCTCTATTTGTGAGAGCTAAAAATGAAATTTTAACTACTACTCATCTCATTTAATTCCTTCTCACCAAGTCTTATATTTAAGGTATTAACCCCTATTCTCTCTCATTAAATCCTATATTTAAGGTACTTTTCTCACTAATAAACTCTACTAATGGGATTTATATCCAATACTTCTAACATATAAAACCCTTCTTTTCTAAAACTAACAAAAGAGAAAAATGAAATCACTCTTTTATTTAAGTGGTAGGTAAGCAATTCAACTTATAGGTACATAGTGCACGCTCAGACCCTTAGGGAACATTAATACCAAGATTAACCCCGCAAAGGTGTGTGCGAACAACCACAATCAATCTCCATGCTGCGATGAACCTGCAACACACCATTAACCCAATGATGAACTCACAATGTGTATTGCAAAATCGCGATAAGCTCGCGGTCCACGGGGCCTACTCGATGCCCCAACCAAGGGAAATCATGA